AGTCGGGTGGCAGTATGTCAACGCCATCGTTTGCGATTGGAGATGCTAGAACTATTTCTCTGCCAACGGAGTTTTGGTCGTCTTCACCTGCTAATAACTTAGAGAAATGGTCCCTCCAAAGTCTTAGTGATTCCTTCACATCTGTTACCAGATTTCCGCTTTCATCTTTGCAGAATGTTGGCCCGGGCTTGCAACCTGCGGTAAGACGCTTTACCTTGTCGTAGAATTTTTTGGCATCTCTTCTGCTTCCATACATTTCTATCTCCTCTTCCTCACGCCTTTCTTGTTCCCTTTTTGCGTCTAAAAAGGCGTCTCTTCTCCCTGTATCGCTCTATAACAGCTCGCGTCGCTGATGACTGTAAGGTTCGTTGGTACGCGGCGTTTTTCTCTACCGTTGCTCGGCGGCACTCATCATCATACCAGCAATTTCGCTTGGGACGGTAGTAGCCTACCACCTCTCTGCTAGCGGTAGCGAGAGAGTGCGAGATATTACTCCACTGTGAGCATATTGTTTCGGGTTCGGAGGAGGTGCTTCGGCGAAGCAGATCCGAGAGTCTAGAGGTGAAGGCGATAGCTACCGTTTGTGATTGCAGCTTACTGACGTCTAGTTTTCTTCGTGTGCCTACCTTTGCGTTATAATGCACACTAAGACGGGTGCGTACCTTGGCTGCTACAAGGTGGTGATCCGAATCAATGTTGGCTCCACGGATCGTGCGAACATCTAGCACACTAGATATATGTCTTCCGTCAATCATCACATGATCGATTTGGTTTCGGGTCTGTCGATCAGGGGATAGCCAGGTCGCCTTGTGGATGTCGAGATGTTGGAATCTGGTGCTACTAATAACCATATTCCGGGCCGCCGCGAAGTCAATCAGCCTCATTCCGTTATCGGACGTGTTGACTTGTAGGCTGTGTTTTCCGACAGTTCCACCAAAGATACCTTCCCTTCCAACCTTGGCGTTGAAGTCACCAAGTACGATTTTGACATCATGTTGAGGGCAGCGCTCATATAGCATGTTCAGACGCTCGTAGAATATATCTTTGATGGACTCGTCTTTCTCTTCCGTCGGGGCATGGGCGCAAATAATGCTAATATAGAAATATTTTGCCTTGATGCGGATTGCTGCCAGTCGTTCATCGAACGGTATGAACCTGGAGAAAAGATGTCGCAGTCTTTGATTCACAGCAAATTCACATCCGAATTCGCGCTTTTCTATATGGCCCTGTATTAGATGTCGAGGGTAGATACTTTCGAGCATCCCTGTCCAGTCCATCGCATTTCCTGGAGTGCGGTAATGTCAGCTCTATATTTCTGTAGGACATTTACCAGCTGGATAGTGGCACCTTCCCTATGGAGGGTTCGGACATTCCAAGTGCATATCCGTATATCGTGGTCCTTAAAACGTTTGCGTAGGTCGTCATCATATCCGAGGCTTTCTCAACGTTTTCATTGGTTTGGCGTTTTTTACAGTGGCGGGTACCAAGCCCAGCGCACCAACCTCATCGCTCGTCGCTCATTTTAGCCATTGCACCAGCGGATGCTAGTCCAATGTTACCAGAGGTCCCCATGTGGAGGGAATGAGTCGGCTTGAGGCGCAGTCAAATAAGGTTCGCGCTGGGTCCACCAGGTAGAACCAATCAGCAACTTTGCCTTACGACATACTCCTCCAGACCTCTATACCCATATTGTTTTAGCATAGATAATATTGGCACCATAGTCTGGACGCACACACTAATTACAGGTGCATTGACACTGGCCAGCCAACATAAGCAACACATAGATAAGGTAAATGTAAATAATAGTTTTAAGCATGGCTATATAAGCCATGAATTGTAAAAATAAAGTCAGAATGCAAGTTATCAACGAACGACTACTTACGGGGACCGGTTATCATTTACAACGTCAACTACCACGTGCGGTGTTACACGCATCTATTGGACCATGAGGGTCCACTGAAGCAGCAGGGCCACAAGTGCGTTTAATTAACCGGACCACGAGTGTCCAACCAACATCTTTTCCGAAACTCTCGGGATGTCCGGCAATCTTGATATGTACAAAAATTTTATTGTTTCATGCAGGCGTTATCTATCTACAAGGTGCGTTCCAAAGTAAACAGGACTTTTTGAATCTAGTGCCCCCTGGTGGCGCTATCTATATGTCGACTAGTGCGTTAGAATCTACTATCTTTATCGATTGTCCAGTGAGAATTTCATGACATTTCATCGATTGGAAGTGAAGTTATTGCGCTTTAAGTGTCAGTATGTTGTGTTATCGGTGCAAAAATGAGCTTCGAACAAAGAGCCAACATTAAATTTTGTTTTAAAATTGGTAAAACTTTTACCAGCGTTCAATTGATGGAACAAGTCTATGACGATGATTGCCTATCCCGTATTGTAGAGTGCACGAGTGGTTTCAACGTATGGCACCGTGCGACTTCTACCTTTTCGGAAAAATGCATTTGCCCATGACAGGAAAGCGTTATGCAGACGTAGAGGCCATTCAAAAGGCTTGCACCGGCATACTGGCGGCCATATCGGCCAACGAGCTAAAACACTCGTTCGACATGCTTTTGGATCGTGCAAAAAGGTGTATTGAAGCAGAAGGAGACTATTTTGAATAAAATAAATTGATTTTGCCGAATAAACCATTTGTTCTCTTTTTTTTTTAAGTACTGTTTGCTTTGGAACACACCTTATATGTATGTACAAATGTATAAGTTAACACATACGGCCGGTCGAGTGACCGCTCGATCATGCAGAATAAGAACCATTTTGGGCATGGTCATCAATTTAAGCGTATTACTCGTAAGCAACAACAAGGCATTCACCGTTCGCTTGCACTTGCAGAAAGTGCCATATCAGCAAAAATGGGTCACAGGGCTAGCTTTCATTTTAAGAACCCTTCTGTACTTAGAGTAACTCAGATTTTGGAAATAAACCACGTCGGTCATCGTAACGACAAACTTTACTTAAAAGTCTACTCATTTATGTGACACCGCGCATCTTATTAATTCGCTCAACAGCGAATCGGGTGTAAAACCTACCTAAATAGTGTTACACCGTGCACTCCATCTATTCGCCTAAAATACACATTTTCTGCGTATTCACATAAGGCATCTTGGACTAAAATTTTGTGTTCCTAGGTCTTATAGTCTCCGAGATATAGGCGATTATACAAATGGAAAATCGGAAAAACCCCCATAGGGGGGAAGTGGGGGAAATCCAAAAAATAAAACAAACTCATATAGCGTACACACATAACGCATCTTTGTGCCAAATTTGGTGACTCCAGCTGTTATAGTCTCTGAGATCCAGGTGTTCATACGGATGGACAGACGGACAGACAGACAGACAGGGCTAGATCGACTCGTCTTGTCACACTGATCAAGAATATATATACTTTGTGGGGTCTGCCACGCCTCCTTCTGCCTGTTACATTTTCAAGCTATGCAAACCTAGTATACTCTTGTACATTTCATGTACAGAGTATAAAAATTTGTATTAGGTTTAAGTGCAGGCTAAGTGTTTTTTGAGATGGTTGTCTTCTGGTTTGAAATGCAAAATAACTTAAGACATCATGGAAAATCGTATAAACCCCCATAGAGGGAAAATGGGGGGACAGACAGACAGACGGACAGTTGGGCTTAAGATTACCATTGCTAAGCGTGCCCACTACTCTGCCAAATTCACTTCAGCCACCTCATCCACACAAGTTTGGGCGGAAATCAAAAATATAGGGGTTGGGAAAAGTAGACCTTCTATATCTCCAGACGTAGATTTAAATAAATTAATCGATAAATTTACAGTTAGCAGTACCTGAAACCCACGAAAATGAGTACATACCTGAACGCTACACTGTTAGTAAACTGTGATACTAGTTTAAGCTTTATGTGTGTAGTGAAGTCCAACGCTATTAGCTTAGATGATCTAAAGCACTCGAACATTTGATCACGAACCAAATGACCAACTATATGATAGGAAATTTACTCCTGAACGACAAGCAATCCGACATTAGGAAAAATAAAAGCTGTAGCACACTTGCAACAACACATTTAAATAAATTAATAAATTAATTAATAATATAACTATACATATCAGTAGTACGCACAAACAAAAATTTAAATTATATCAAATTACGTAACTTAAATTAAATTAAACTGAATTAAATTGGAAATGAATATGTATTATATTGACTATCGTAATATCTTAGAAGTAATCTATTACTTGTAACGCTAGGAAAATCGGGAAAACGCCCATAGGGGTGAAGTGGGGGAAAAATCAAAAAAATAAAACAATCTTGCACAGCGTACGCACATAAGGTATCTTTGGGCAAAATTTGGTGTCTCTAGCTCTTATAGTCTCTGAGATCAACGGACAGACTGACAGACGGACAGAAAGACAGACAGGGCTAGATCGACTCATCTCGTCATGCTGATCAAGAATATATATACTTTTGGGAACTAGATCGGAGCCCAAATGAGGCTGTGCACCAGACAACAACGTCTTGCTGAGGGACCTGACGTCGGCGTTCGAGCGGAACAAGGACTCTATGACAGACGTTTAGGAAAAGCGACGAACCAATTGGCGTTTCAAGCAAATTATTCATTGAGTAGTAATCGCACTGTAAGCCTCGCTGTACGAATTCCAAGCCACATTAAAGCCAACTATTTATAATCGAAGACTTTCGCGTGTCTAATTATTAATAACTAATTAAACTTCTTATGTTTGCTATCGCTAAAATATTAATATGTAGGAATACTAAAACTGATAGTATACATAATGGCTTCGAAACGGCTGATAGTTTGTCAATTACTCTACAGTAGTTAGATAAAAAAGATCGCGCATATTTATTATGTAGGGGAGTGATGTGCCATTCGTTAAGGCAGAATTCAATGCAGTTAGTGTAGAGGCAGAGCGAGAAATAATGTAGATGAAGCTAGGGCTTTCAATAGTCATCTACACAATATAACTTTTTGATTGTTTTGCATCATACTTACAAAAAACACTTTTGGGCTTATCAAATGCTTTAAACTTGAAATATGCCGTCCGTGTATCTGATGGAACACGAAAGTGTAGTATGGTTACGTCCTTGTAAGATGAATATTTTAATAACGAGTTATACGGCAATCGTGCAATAAGTTGATCCTTTGGTATATTCATTTGTTCTTCAGACATCGTATTTTCGATCGCCAGATTATGAATTCTTGAGCCGGCAGATAGACTACAACTCAAAAGCAATATCAGAGTTGCGATGGAAGATGCCGCACAAAGTGCATTTGCAAGTTGCATTTTTATATTGATTCAGACAAAATGGGTTGATAAGTAGTTTCAAGTATCAATTCTGAAAAAAGAAAAGCATTCATTAAGATCAATGGAAAGACAAGTTAAAACAAGTAGAAAAGCTCAAATCGGATGTCCCGATATTGAGATACTCTGTACATATGAGTAAAATAATAAAAAATTGTTTAAAAAATTGAAAATTCAAAATAAGCTTAAACAATTTTCATCGATTTTACATTCCTCACGTAAAGGATGTACAAGTATAACTGCACATTTATATATCATATATATATCACTCGCTCGCCAGAAGGCTTAGAAATGAACACTAGGGGGGTCCCGACTTTGAAATACTCTGTACATATGTTTACAATAATTATAGAAAATAAAAAAAATTAAAAAAAAAAATTTGTTCGATTTTACCTTTCTCGGTATTCGAACTCACGTAAAGGGTGTATAATTGCACATTTACATAGCAATTGTGTCTGTGTGAGTGTATGTATGCCTATTCGAATCTATTCGTGTCTGTGTAAGCATGTGTGCAGTCAACCAAAGCACCAGCATCAACAGCCGCGGGCAGCGCTGCAGCAGCAAATATATTTATGGCTAAAACTTCTTGTTAAATCGGTCTATCATAGTGAAACTTGGCATACGGACACATAATAACTAACTGGGGGCATTTGCAAAATTTTAGTTCGAAATTCCAAGAATTACGGAAGTTACGATTTGAGGGGGAGAGGGGGAGGTAGGGAAAGTCCAAAATATACATTTTCTGCGTATTCACACAAGGCATCTTGGACTTAAGTTTGGTGTTCCTAGGTCTTATAGTCTCCGAGATATAGGCGATTATACGAATGGAAAATCGGGAAAACCCCCATAGGGGGGAAAATCAAAAAAATAAAACAAACTCTTTGTGCAAAATTTGGTGTCTCTATCTCTTATAGTCTCTGAGATCCAGGTGTTCATACGGACGGACAGACGGACAGACAGACAGGGCTAGATCGACTCGTCTCGTCATTCTGATCAAGAATATATATACTTTGTGGGGTCTGCCAAGCCTCCTTCTGCCTGTTACATTTTTCAGCTCCCGCAAACCTAATATACTTCTGTACATTTCATGTACAGAGTATAAAAACAAGTAAAAAAGCTAAAGTCGGGTGTCCCGACTTTGAAATACTCTGTACATATGTTAACAAGAATTAGAGAAATTAAAAAAATTAAGAAAATTAAAAAAATAGTTTTGATCGATTTTACCTCTCTCTGAACTCACGTAAAGGGTGTATAGTTGCACATTTGCATAGCAATTGCGTCTATGTGAGTGTATGAATGTCTATGCGCATTTATTCGTATATGTGTAAACATGTTTGCAGTCAACCAAACAGCAACATCAACAACAGCTGCGGGCAGCTCTGGAGCAGCAAATATATTTATGCCTATAACTTCTTGATAAATCGGTCTATCATGGTGAAACTTGGCATACGGACACATAATAGCTAACTGGGGGTATTTGTAAAATTTGAAAATCCAAGAATTACGGGAGTTACGATTTGTGGTGGAGAGGGGGGAGGGAGGGAAATTCCAAAATACACATTTTCTACGTATTCATAATAGGCATTTTGGATTAAAATTTGGTGTTCCTAGGTCTTATAGTCTCCAAGATATAGGCGAGTATACGAATGGAAAATCGGGAAAATCCCCATAGGGGGAAAGTGGGGGAAAATCAAAAAAATAAAACAAACTCGTATAGCGTACACACATAACGCATCTTTTCGCACAACTTGGTGTCTCTATCTCTTATAGTCTCTGAGATCCAGGTGTTCATACGGACGGGCAGACAGGCATAGATCGACTCGTCATGTCACGCTGATCAAGAATATTTATACTTTGTGGCGTCTGCCACGCCTCCTTCTGCCTGTTACATTTCTCAGCTCCCGCAAACCTAATATATTCTTGTACATTTTATGTACAGAGTATAATAAAACAAACTTGCACAGCGAACACACATAAGGCATCTTTGTGCAAAATTTGGGCTCTAGCTCTTAAAGTCTCTGGGATCCAGGTGTTCATACGGACAGACAGACGGACGGACAGATAGACAGGGCTAGATCGACTCGTCTGTCACGCTGATCAAGAATATATATACTCTGTGGGGTCTGCCACGCCTCCTTCTGCTTGTTACATTTTTCAGTTTGCGCAAAGCTAATATACTCTTGTACATTTCATATACAGAGTATAAATACCGAGATTATCGCAAACTGAACACGGTCTCTATCACAGACAAGTATCCGATACCAAAAATCAATGAAGTTCTGACCCAATTGGGAAACAACAAGCTCTTCTCAGTGCTAGATCTCAAAAACAGATTTCACCATATCCCACAAAAAACATCAGGTATCGAAAAAACAACCTTCTCCATTAACAACGGAAAATTTGAGCAATGTTGCAGCGCGCTCTCGATGATATCCTGCACGAACACATAGGGAAGATTTGTTTCATCTACATAGATGATATCATTGTCTTCAGCAAAGACAAAAAAAATTTGGATTCGATTTTTAGAATTCTTCAAAATGCCAACATCAAATGTCAACTAGACAAATGCGAGTTCTTTAAGAACAAAGTTGAGTTCCTTGGGTTTGTCATATCTGATAAAGGCATCGCAACCAACACATCAAAGGTGATGGCAATAGTTAATTGTCCACAACCTAAAAGTCTAAATAAACTAAGAGCATGTTTGGCTTTGGATACTACAGGAGGTTCATCCAGGACTTCGCTAAGCTGGCAAAACCACTTAGCTCTCTCTTAAGAGAGGAAGATGGACGAGCGTCCAAAAGAGAATCTTCGAAGAAAATCATTAATCTCGATGAATTGCGATAGAATCCTTTAACAAAATAAAAAGTACTCTGGTCTCTAATGAAGTGTTTTTTCATTTTCCCGACCCTGCAAAACTTGCAACCGATGCCTCTAATATCGCGATCGGCGCTGTACTTTTCAAAGACAAGAGACATATTTCGTTTCTTCCAAGGACATTTTCCAGAGCCGAAGAGAACTACACTACTAACGAGAAGAAAATATAAAACATTTGATAACATTTTATTGCAATAATATTACAACATTGCATATGCATAATTCAAGTGCACTGTAATGTGACCGCACAAGTCAAAAGACATATGTGATGCGTCGGTAGGTTTGACACAAGCCGGCGCAACTGTGTGAACAACTTATGCGCGAATATCACTCACTCTCTCTCTTTAAGCACTGCTCTTAGTGTTAGCTACATAAGTAAATACATAAGACAGTCGCGCCGGCTTAGCCAAGTAGACTAGAAGCAATTACTGTAAAAAGAATTGAATAAAGAGCCAGAGAACGAAACAGACGCATGTTGCTGTATCATTTCAAACTTGTGACAAGTTATAATCTAGATCAGCGGTGGGCACGTAGTGGCTCTTTGGGCTCCCAGGGTTCTTTCCGTTATGTTTTGGTAACTGGCGACAGCCAGACGCACAAGCAAAGTACCGATCTCGAGCAAACTTACAATAACAAAATACACGCAGTGTTGTCGCCAGCCAGACGCACAAGTAGATCGATGCAATAACAAAATACACACAGTGTGTGTACTGATGATCGATTTACAATACCCGCTGACGGTCACTTATGCACTGACATTCAAAGTGTATTGACAAATTATAAATTATAGTGTTTCAGTAAAACTTTTATGATTTTCGTCAAGTTATTTACTTATAATCTTACTTATATTTGATTTAAAACTGAACAATGGCTAATGAAATTAATATTTCCGAGATTGAGACGCGGTATTTTTTTGCCAGCACTTATGTGTGCGAAGCTGCATTTTCAAACATTAAATATATTAAAAATGTTTATAGGAATAAATTAAGTTACATAAATTTAAGAGGAAATAGATTTCGAAAAATTATTAAATGAATGTTCATAAATGTGATCAAAATTTTTTTCAGTGTACTTTTTTTTCCTAATTTTTTGCTCGCAGTTTATGATGTTCTCATAACCCAAACGGTAGTTTTTGTTGTAGATGTTGTTGTAGGACTCCCAAACTAAGATTTCGTGCCTTCGTACTACTTGGCGACCATGACATAAGGATCTGGACGTAAGGATCTGGACTAAGGATCTGGATACACTACATAAATTGTACCAAAGGAACTGGGAGACAATGCAGCGGAATAAAAACCAGAGTGAGTAGAGTGCTTGTGATGTGCCAGTGAAAATATATTATGAAAAATAAAAGAGGGGGTGTGCGCCGAAAAATCGCTAGAAGAATAGCGGAAATTAAAACGGCTTTGAGCACGTAACAACCACCAGCACCGGCACCGGCACCTCCAACCGTTCCAAGGTGGCCAAGCTTGTGTGACGACCAGCACCGGCACCGCCTGAGCTCATAGGCCCAAAACTACGGTGGAGGACAGCACCGCAGCAGAAAAATTAATGATTAAGCAAAAATAAAATGTTGTAATGCAAAATGTGTAATCTATATATATAAAACAGTTTGTCCTGACTGACTGACTGACTGACTGATTGGTGATTAACGCACAGCCCAAATGGTAAAGGGTAGGAAGCTGAAATTTGGACTCAAGTATCCTTTTATAGTCTAGGTCCCCACTAAGAAGGGATTTTGGAAAACTCGAGCTCCAAAGGGGGAAAACAGGCTCCAACGTTTGTATGAAAAATCTACAGTTTTCATCTGATTAACTTCAAACTTAGTTTGTATACTCTCAGAACAATTCCAAATAAACTGTATACTTGGTTTTTTGATATTTTTTTTTGGCCTAAAATATGGGAGTTTTCCTGTAAAAAAATGTTGGGGCACAAAAGCAAACCGCGTCAACAGCCCACAGCCCACACGGTAAAAGCTAGGATGCTGAAATTTGGGCTCAAGTATCCTATCATAGTGTAAATGTGCATTAAGAAGGGATTTTGGAAAATCCAAGCTCCAAAGGGGGGAAAAGTAGCTCCAAAGTTTGTTTGAAAAATCCGCATTTTTCAACCGATCGACTTAAAACTTAGTTTCTAAAATCAATCAAAGAATACAAACAA